AGACCATACAATGGAGGATATATTAAATTTGTTACTCCGCCAAAGGTGTATATCTACACAGTGAGATAAAAAAAAATGCAACAAAGTCAAACGCCATAATTTTTACATTTTTTTTTTAACTTTTATTATTTAATGAAAGCAAAAAATGTCGGAAATAGCATCAAATTTTAAAATAAGTTTAGATTTGTTCGAATTGGTCACCTTTGGCACGAATTATGGCCTTCAAACGGCCAATGGAACCGCTGCGCACACACTGCCCGAATGTTGCTTTGTGGAATTTTGGCCCATTCCCGGCGAAGCGCTTGCTTGAGGTGATCGACACTTTGGTATTTTTTAGTGTCATCCTTGCTTTCCAAAATACTCCAGATACAACAGGTCCAACGGATTGGTATCCGGAGATTTTGATAGCCGGAGATTGTGCGCTGGAAATGAAGCGAGAAACCTCATTTTGTAACTAGTCTTGGGTGGCGCGTGCTGAGAGCGAACGTCCAAGGTCTGCTGCCAAAATATTTGCGTGTCAAAGGCCTTAATACACCCTTCAGAATATTTTCGCATTTCCGAAATCACCCCAATATGTCCAGGCTACACATCATTTGCTACCCTAATACCAAATTTTAGATTTCAAGCACTATCTATTCACCCAATGCCAAATTGTACCAAATATAGTAATATTTAGTACTTTTCGCACAATTAAAGTACACATTTCCAAAACCCCAATTCCACAATCCCAGATACCAACAGGGACCTCAATTTAAAATTTCGGGTGAAGGTCCAGCTCTAGACCTTCACCCAATACCAAATTTAGTACCATTTGGTACTTTTCGTACAAATTTACGAAATCTCAAACAGAGACTCCATCAGTAATTCAAATATCAAATTTTAGAATTTTTATCTTTATCTCTTCACCCAATGACAAATATGGTACAATTCCGTACTTTTCGTACAATCATAGTACACATTTGCAAAACCACCCCCATATGTCCAGGCTACACAGGATCTGCGACCCCAATACCAAATTTCAGATTTCAAGCACTGTCTGTTTACTCAATACCAAATTGTACCAAATATAGTACTATTTTGTACTCTTCGTGCACTTGTAGTACACATTTCCAAAACCACCTTTTTTATCACAAACGTACTATCAACCGGGATGCCAATACTAATTTTCAAAATTCTACCTTTATCCGTTCACTCTAAAACAAACTGTTCCAAATTTAGTACCATTTGGTACAATTCGCACACTTAGTACCCATTTCCTTAACACAACTTCATACATCAAACTCACTTTCCCATTTTGTTTCTCATACCAAATTTGAAGTTTTTAGCTCCAACCGTTCAAATAATACCAAATGGTACCATTATAGAGGTTTAGTACCATTTTAGAACTTTTCGTAACAATTTAGTTCGAATTAACAAAAAAAAAAAAAAAAAAAAAAAAAAAAAAAACCCTTTGATACATCTATCCTGCAGTCCATCAGTGATTTTCATTTCAAATTTCAGAATTCTAGCTCATTTTGAAGTTTTAAGCCCCAGCCGTTAACATAATACCAAATTGTACCATTTTAGAAGTTCAGTACTATTTTAGAACCTTTCCTTACCTTATAGTTCGAATTTCCAAAAATCCCTTTGATACATCTATCCTGTATTCCATTAGTGCTTCTCATTTTAAATTTCAGAATTCTAATTCTTTCCGTTTGTCCAATATAAATTCAAGTATTAAATTTTAGTACATTTTGTACCCTTTTAGTACGAATTTCCAAAAATCCAGCTTGTCCACACGTCTAAGCACCCCAAATATATGTGGAGACTGTTTGTAAGAAAATTGAATGGATTTTTCTCAACCCTTACCAATTTTTTCATATAACCTCTATGGCGTATGAGTATTGCCCACATTAATACGCCCGGTGTCCATATTTGACAAAAATTTCACGCTTTCTCCTTTTCTCTCTTTCTCCCTGACCACAAACATCGGCCGTTGTTTGATGCCATCATTTAATTATTAATTGAAGTTCAAGTGAAACATCAACAATGAACTTTTTGTTTTTGTTTTTTTTTTTTTGATACGAAAAGTTGGAAAAATAATAAAGTTTTCGGTTCGTATGACTTCGGTGACCTTTTTCCATGATTAATGATAATGAAGACATAATGAAGTGAATGAAAATTTAGCGACTCTACGAGTGGTCATATGTGTGTGGACACATACATACACATCTTTATCGTGTGGTGAAATATACAGAAGTCCTCGTTATTATAACAAACATTAATGGTGACATTTATTTTCCTCTTTTCTTGGCCTCTTTTTCTTCTTTGCTTAGCAGTAACCACTCGTTGTTTAGCTTAGCTTGTTTCCCAGTGACACTTTGATTAACTATTTGCAAAGTCATTGAGTTAGTCAGGCAGACTTGCTGTTGCTGGTTGTGGTGGTGGCTGTAATGAATACAAGGCGATAATTTCATTGTTGATTAACACCAAGATCAACACCTTAGCCGAGGAATAGGATGTGGCTGTGGGAGGGTTAGGAGTAGGCATGTTCAGACTAAACATGAAGTATTGGGTTACCACATTTGCGTGGGCATAACTCTCGGCAGTGTCATTAGTCGTATTTCGTTGATTAGTCTACCGGGTGAGATGAAAAAACTACAACCAACTTCAGACTGCTGTTATTTCTAAGCCACTCGTCCGACAGCTGTTAAAATTATTCCAGTTACAGCTTAATATATTGTCTACAAGCGTACAAAAGCATTTTGGTGAGAATTTTCCCGGAAAAAAGTTATTCGTCATGGAGGAATTCATGCGTGATAGTGTAATATCTTTATATTTGGCTGGAAAACCACGAGGGGCTATCGGTAGAGCACTCCCGAATTTAAATGTGAATAAATCTTGTGGGTCTCTTAGCATCGCTCGTTTCCGTGATAGTGGTGGTGTAGCCCGACGTCAAGGAAGTGGCGGAAGACACAACAGTAACATCAGCAGAAATGGTTCGAAAAGCAAAGAAGTGACTTGATCAAAACCCGCTTCTCAGTGGCCGAAAAATGGCTCGTGAGCTGAACATATCGCAATATTCCATTCGGCAAATATTGAAAAATAAGATTGAGATAAAGCCGTTGAAATTCCAAAAAGTGTCAGAACTTACACCGCAACAGAAAAAAATAGACTCAAAAGAGCTAAAGAGTTGCTTCGCTTGGCCAAAAGTGGTGAACTGCCGAATGTGGGTTTCTCCGTTGTCCAGCAGTTTGTAAACAAACAAAATGATCATTTTTACTTGCCAAAGAGTTCAGGTCAGCTGAAAATGTGCTCCTTCGCTTGGCCACCAGAACTCAAGGTCGGCCATGGTAATGCTGTGGGTCGTTATAACAGTCGATAATCGCTCTCCGCTCGTATTAATCGACCGTGGCATCAGAATAAATGTCGAATATTATCGTGGAAATATTCTTGAGGGTGTACTAAAGCCTTGGGCAAGCAAACATTTTGGCCGCAGACCTGGAAGTTCGCTCTCAGCACGCGCCACCCAAGACTAGTTACAAAATGAGGTTCCTTGCTGCATTGCCAGCTCACAATGGCCACCAAAATCTCCGGATACCAATCCGTTGGACTATTGTGTCTGGAGTATTTTGGAGGGCAAGATTGGCACTAAAAAATACCAAAATGTCGATCACCTCAAGCAAGCGCTTCGCCGAGAATGGGCCAAAATAAAGCAGAGCCACCATAATTCAAGCGCTGGCCATGGTGATGGTGTGGGCCGCCATAACAGCCGATGGTCGCTCTCTGCTCGTATTAATCGACCGTGGCATCAGAATAAATGCCAAATATTATCGCGAAAATATTCTGGAGGGTGTATTAAAGCCTTGGGCACGCAAACATTTTGGCCGCAGACCCTGGACATTCCAAAAGGACTGGGCACCGTCGCTCTCAGCATGCCCCACCCAAGAATGGTTACAAAATGAGGTTCCTCGCTTTATTTCCAGTGCACAATGGCCACCAAAATCCCTGGAAACCAATCCCTTGGACTATTGTGTCTGGAGTATTTTGGATAGCAAGGTTGGCACTAAAGAATGCCAAAAAGTCGATCACCCCAAGCAAGCGCTTCGCCGGGAATGGGCCAAAATACCGCAGAGCAACATTCGGGCAGCGTGTGATGGTTTCATTGGCCGTTTTAAGGCAATAATTCGTGCCAAAAGTGACCAATTCGAACAAATCTGCACTTATTCTAAAACTTGATGCTATTTCCGACATTTTTTGCTTTCATTCAATAAAATTTAAAAAAAAATAAAAATTATGACATTTGACTTTGTTGCCGTTTCTTTATCTCACCCTGTATTTGAAATCCATAAATGACATGGGATGCGCAGATTGGCCTTCTATGTTGCGAGGGAGGGCGGTTAGGCGGGAGTTTGTGAACTCACTGATAAACATAAACACTCTCGCTTATAAATGCCATTAAATGTAATTTAATACCCAATACGTTTGTCGATTCAAGCCACTCTAAACACACACACACACTCACCCACCCAAATATTCAACATTAGATAAATGTCATTCGAAGCGTATAACTGCCGACATCAATCATACGCAACACTGCCAATGAAAGCGAAATCAAATCACCAGCAATGTAGCCTCATTTTTTGTAGTTGTTGTAAATTTTGCATTAAAACAAAAAACCCATTAGGATAAATTGTTGCCTCCCTCCTCCATCGGTACTTGTACAATCTCAAAACGATTATTAAAAATGGCAAAGAGCTCTTGAGCAGCTACTTGAGATTCATATTCAAACTACTCAACAAAGTTAGATGACCTTTTTAACCTTTTTATGAAAGAGAAGAGAGGACTCTCTTTTCCCTCTCCACCCGGAATGTCTCTTGTAAATTACACAAAAAAAAAACTTTTGTTTATTCGAGTTTATCTTTTTTCCCCATGCCTTTCTATTTTGTGTCTAATTGCAAACTAATGTTCATTTTTTTACTCTCTCTCTCTCTTCCTCTCTTTCCCCCTCTCTCTTGAAGGTCAAGGACATAACCCGCAACATTAAAAAGGCCGTTGTCGCCGCCTCTCTGGAAGAGATTCGTGCCAAAGTAGCGGAGAAATTTGACAAAGCCGATCAGTTGGTCACCATCCACCTGGACTCGGATGGTACAGAAATCGACGATGAGGAGTATTTCCGCACCCTGGAGGCCAATACTGAATTGATTGCCGTATTTCCGGGAGAGCATTGGATTGATGTGAGTTGAAAAATTAGAATTTGAGATAATCAAGATAAGATAAATGAGGTGACTTAAGAATGTAGATAATGTATCTGCGCTTTGGAAATAACGAAGAAAATGTATCTACATCAGGGAAAGGGCGTAGGTTATGTATCTACGTTATTTTAAGAACAAATGTGATAATGTATCTACCTTATGGAAATGATGTAGATAATGTATCTACTACTTCCATATGACGTAAAAAATGTATCTGCGTGATCTATATGATATGATAATTTATCTAAATGATATAGATAATGTATCTACGTTATGGAAATGACTTGAGAAATGTATCTACGTCATGGAAATAATGAAGATAATGTATCTACGATATATAAATAATGTAGATAAGGTATCTACGTTATCTAAATGATATAGATAGTGTATCTATGCTATGGAAATAACGTAGAAAATGTATCTACGTTATGGAAATGATAAGGATAATGTATATATGTTATTTAAACGACATAGATAATTTATCTACGATATCTAAATGACGTAGATAAGGTATATACAACATCCAAAGGATGTATATAATGTATCTACGTTATCTAAATAACATAGATAATGTATCTACATTATAGAAATAACGCACATAATGTACCTACGTTATCCGAATAATGTAGATAAAGTATCTACGTTATCTAAATAATATAGATAATGTATCTATGCTATGGAAATAACGTAGATAATGTATCTACGACAGGGAAATGGCGCAGATTATGTATTTACGTTATGTTAAGAACGCGGAAAATGTTTCTACCTTTTGGAAATTATGTAGATAATGTATCTACAACTTCCAAACGACGTAAATAATGTATCTACGTGATCTATATGAGGTATCTAAGGTATATAAGTTATCTAAATGATATAGATAATGTATCTACGTCATGGAAATGAATGTATCTACGATATCCAAATGATGTAGATAAGCTACAAGATCCGAAGGTCGTATATAAAGTATCTACGTTATCTAATTGATGTAGATAATGTATCTACATTATCTTAATGATGTAGATGATGTATTTATGTTATCTAAATAATATAGATAATGTATCTACATTATAGAAATAACGCACATAATGTATCTACGTTATCCAAATCATGTAGATAAATTATCTACGTTATCTAAATACTATTGATATGGTATCTATGTTATGGAAAAATCGTAGATAATGTATCTATGTCAGGGAAATGATATAGATAATGTATCTATGCTATGAAAATAACGTAGATAATGTATCTACAGTATGAAAATAACATAGATACTGTGTCTACGTTATCTAAATGACGTAGATAATGTATCTATGTTATTTAAACGACATAGACAATTTATCTACGTTATTTAAATGATATAGATAATGTATCTACGTTATGGAAATTACTTGAGTAATGTATCTACGTCATGGAAATGATGAAGATAATGTATCCATGATATCCAAATGCTGTAGATAAGGTATCTACGCTATCTCAATGACATAGATGATGCATCTGTGCTATGGAAATAACGTACATAGTGTATCTACATTATGGAATAACATAGATAATGTATCTACGTAATGGAAATGATGTTTATAATGTATCTACTATACCCAAATGATGTAGATAATGTATCTACGTTATTTAAACGACATAGATAATTTATCTACGTTATCCAAATTACGTAGATAAGCTATGTACAACATCCAAAGGACGTATATAAGGTATCTACGTTATCTAAATGACGTAGATAATGTATCTACATTATCTTAATGATGTAGATAAAGTATCTATGTTATCTAAATAATATAGATAATGTATCTAAGTTATGGAAATGATGGAGATAATGTATCTACGATATCCAAATGAAGTAGATGATGTATCTACGTTATTTAAATGACATGGTTAATTTATCTATTATATCCAAATGACGTAGATAAGATATATACAACATCCAAGGGACGTATGTAATGTATCTACGTTATCTAAATGACGTAGATAATGTTATCTAAATGACGTAGATAATGTATCTACATTATCTTAATGATGAAAATAAGGTATCTACGTTATAGAAATAACGTACATAATGTATCTACGTTATCCAAATGATGTAGATAAAGTATCTACGTTATCTAAATAATATAGATCATGTATCTACGCTGTGGAAATAACGTAGATAATGTATCTGCACTACGGAATAACATAGATAATGTATCTACGTTATGGATAATGTATCTCCGATATCGAAATGGCTTAGATAATGTATCTACATTGTGGAATTACCGTATATAATGTATCTATGCTCTCTTAATGGCTTAGATAATGTATCTACATTATCCAAATGATGAAGATAATGTATCTACGTTATGAAAATGACGTAGATAATGCATCTGCGTCATCTGACGTACGTAGACAATGCCTAAGATACTACTTCTAAATTATCTGAAGGACTTGGGCGATGTATCTACGTTCTCTAGCTGACGTCTACGCAATCTACCTGACTTAGATAATGTATATACTTTATCTAAATGACGTAGATAATTTATCTAAGTTATCTGAATGACATAGATAATGTATCTTCGATATCGAAATGGCTTAGATAATGTATCTACATTGTGGAATTACCGTATATAATGTATCTATGCTCTCTTAATGGCTTAGGTAATGTATCTACATTATCTAAGTGATGAAGATAATGTATCTACGTTATGAAAATGACGTAGATGCATTATCTACGTTATCGGAAGTACGTAAATAATGCATCTTCGTTATCTAAATGACTAAAATAATGCATCTAAATTATTTGAAGGACATGGACACTGTATCTACGTTATCTAATTGACGTCTACGCAATCTACCTGACTTAGATAATGCATCTACTTTATCTAAATGACGTAGATAATTTTTCTACGTTATTTGAATGACGTAGATAATGTGTATTCGATATCCAAATGACGTAGATAACGTATCTTCGATATCCAAATGGCGTAGATAATTTATCTACTTTATATTCGTTATCTAAATGACTAAGGTAATTCATCTAAATTATCTGAAGTACGTTTGCAATATATCTACGTTATCTAAATGACGTAGATAATGTATCTACGATATCTGGTTGACGTAGATAATGCATTTGCGTGGTCTAACTGACGTAGATAAATTAAATCTAAAAGACATATACATTGTATAAGAGTTATCTAAATTAAGTAGATAATGTATCTACGTGACGTAGATAACTCATATCCTTTATCTTAATATTTTAATTTTCTTATGCGACCAACTGGATTATTTATCTGTCATTAAACATTTTTTCTAAGCTAATTTTGTATGACAGGTTACTTTAGCCTTTTTTCTCCTCTCCCTCTCTCCCTCCCCCAACATTTCCCTTTAATATCATTAAATTCAAATTATCATTTTTTTAATTATTTAAGCAACTTTCAATTCTGGGAAAATTTGTTAGGTATTTTTTGTTGTTGCTTTCCCAACAAAGTTTGCGGAAAAAGTTAACAAAATGAAGCAGCAATGAGCAAAGTAAAGTGTATCTTATTGCGGCGGGTTGTATCTATCTGTGGCAATGGATAATTACCGTAACTTGTGTTTAAGGAGGTGTAGAGGGGGAAGAGGAGTAGGTTTTTTTTTTGAGGTTAAGCCAACACGAAAAGTTGTCACCGAAACTTTTGCTTTTTAGGTGTTCTTGTGGCGTTGCTTCTTTTTTTTGATGGAATTTCAAGTGACGTTGCTGGGAATAACTCTTGAGAGAAGCTTTTATTTTGACTTTTGACATTGTGAATTATGAAAGAGATTTTGAAATTAAATTTCAATTTCAATTTAATTGCAAATTGCTTTATAGAAGTCAGTAAGTAACTTTATTTTTTGGCGATTTTTATCTACATTATTTGCTATTTTTTTGGTTTTGTTTCCTTAAAGTCTATTGTAAGCAGTGAGAGTTTCTTGCGTCTGTATACCAGGTGAGGGGTATTTTTTTTTTGTTCTCAAAATGTCCATAACTTAAGTAAATTCGTTCGCTGAGAGAGAGAGTGTCCTTCTAGGCATGTTTTTCGTCTTAAAAATCTAAACTAAAAATGAGTTTTCTAAATTACAAAGCCTCTAATAGAAACAAGCTGATCCTAGCTGCACACGGAACTGCTGATTGGTCTCACCCACATCGCGTATGGCAATGTCGACAATTGGCAGACGCTGGGTCTTTTGGGTGGTGTAGGTGATCACGGTCTTGGCCCAGGCATTGGAACGTTTCTAGAAATAGATAAAATATTTAAATTCGGTACTTCCCCCTCTCTCTCTCTCTCTTCCTTTTAAAATAACTCACCCTGCACTCATCCAGCTCGGCTTCATAGCGCAATCTCTGGGGACCCTTGGGTGTCAGTTCAGCATCATTCCAGGACAGTAACTTCAAGCCATCCCTGGAAAAAAACACGCCAATTATTAATCGAATCTTCAAATTTAAGGATCTCTTCCTCCCCCTCCCACTTACCTTGCTGCCGTCGAATCATCATGCAAATAGGCCACCGTGTTCCTACAATGGAACGTTATCTTCTGGCTAGCCCTTCCGGAAAGCAGTTGCAAGAAACCCATTTGATTGGAATCGGTCTTATAGTTAATGTCCATACCTCCGGCCATTTCACCCAACCAAACTTCCTTTTCGGAGCCCACATAGCTCAACACATTCGACTCCTTGGGTTGCGGAATAATGCACGTGGCTCTCCTCTCCTTTTCACAATAGACCAAAATGGCATCCTGAATATCTCCCTCATTGGGATCAATCCAATAATCTCCGGATTTAAAGTCAGGATAGGCAGCAAACAGGTCACGACAAGTTTTGGCTGGGGCAGTCTGTTGGCCATTGGGACGCTTGAAACGTTCAAAGGAGGCCTTGACATGATCAAAGGCCTTCATGACCAAGGCCTGTTTCTCCTCATCGGACAGGCCCTCCGTTAGCTTATCAATCATTGGCTGATCACCCATAACATCCACACCCTTGGTTTGACCCTGGTTGAGCAGGGCTGTCAGGGCAGCAACATCATAACCCAAAGTTTCACCTGGTGGACCAGGTGGACCTGGAGGACCGGCTGGGCCCACAGGACCTGGTTTACCATCGTGACCGCTGTAACCTCTGGGGCCGGCAGGACCTGGTTGACCTGGAGGTCCGGGATTGCCATCTCTGCCCTGGGGACCTCTCATTCCCATTTCTCCGGGTTTGCCTGGAGCTCCTTGTAGACCCGGCAGACCCGTGTCACCCTTCAAACCAGGGGAACCGGGTAAACCTTGCAAACCAATCAAACCTCTGTGACCCTTAATACCCTTAGGACCTGGTTCGCCAGTTTCTCCCTTGGGGCCCTCAATACCCGGAGGACCAGGTTTGCCTCTAAGACCCATGGGACCAACCACGCCGGGTAGACCTGTTTCACCCTTGGGACCACGTTCACCATGTTGACCTGCTGGACCAGTCGGACCGGGTGGGCCAGGAAGACCTGGATTACCGGGAGCGCCTTGATTGCCTTGTTGACCGGGAGGTCCCTTATCACCAGGACGTCCTTGAATACCTGGGGCACCTGGTTTACCTGCAGGTCCCACGGGACCTTGTTCGCCTTGGGGACCGGGATTGCCTTGTGGACCTATCAAACCTTGGGGACCGGGAGGGCCATCCTTTCCAGGTTTGCCTGGTTGGCCAGTTTCTCCAGCTGGACCACGCATGCCACGTAAACCTTGGGATCCTGGAGGGCCAGGTAAGCCAGGCATACCGCGATCTCCCACAGGACCTTGGGGACCTTGAGTGCCGGGAGGTCCGGGTGGACCATCATTGCCAGTTTCGCCTTTTTGACCCTCGGGGCCAGGGGGTCCTTGCAAGCCAGGTTGTCCAGGTTGGCCAGGGCGTCCGGGCTCACCCGAGCTACCCTTGAGGCCTTGGGGTCCAGCAATACCAGGCTGGCCGGGGCTGCCAGGTTGTCCCTAAAAATTAAAGAGAAATATTAACTGAAAGACCCACCTCTCTCATCCATGACAACTTACTGGTGCTCCAGCATCTCCGGGTCTTCCGGGCAAGCCACTCATACCCGGCTCTCCTCTTAGACCAGGTTCACCTCTAGCACCCTTGGGACCGGTCAAACCCACTGGACCGGGCAGACCTTGTTCGCCCGGTTGTCCCTGAGGACCGACATCACCTTGAGAACCCTTAATACCCATTAAACCGCGATCACCTTTAGCTCCAGGTAAACCAACAATACCAGGGGCACCTGGAAAACCGGGAGGACCAGCTGGACCAATTGGACCTCTTTCACCGGGGGCACCATTTGCACCTTGTTCACCAGGGGTACCAGGATTGCCAGGACTACCACGTTCACCAGGCTCACCAGGGGCTCCTGGTGGCCCAACATTACCCTGGGGACCTCTATCACCGGGACGGCCGGGGGCACCCTCGGGTCCCATGGGGCCTGTGCTACCACGTTCGCCCTTTACACCAGCTGGACCGGGTAGACCTTTGTGGCCGGGTATGCCCATCATACCGGGGGCACCCATGTGGCCCTTTTCGCCTTGTTTGCCGGGGAGACCCTGAAAATTAAATAAAAATCAATGAACCATCGAAAAAAAAAAATTCATCCTCTACTTACCGGTGGTCCATCATGTCCTGGATTTCCAGGCTCACCCCTTTCGCCAGGTGTACCAGGTTGACCAATAGGGCCTCGTTCTCCGGGATAACCTCTTTCGCCTCTCAAACCAGCCGGACCAGTTGGACCTTGGGGACCTGGTGGGCCATGAGCACCATCCTTGCCAGGGGATCCAGGGCTACCAGGAGCTCCTGGCAAACCTTGGAAACCTCTGGGACCTGTGGGACCTGCTTCACCTCGAGCACCATCTTGACCCGGTGGGCCAGGTGGACCCTGGGCTCCGGGTAAACCATCTTTGCCATTATCACCACGCGGACCAGGGGGGCCAGCAACGCCGGGCTCGCCTGCCTTACCAGGTTCTCCAGGAATACCCTTATCACCGGGTATACCCATGGGACCGGGCAAACCTTGAAGACCTTGCAAACCTTGTTCACCGGGCTTTCCATCTGCACCTGGAGGACCACGTTCACCTGGTGGACCATCTCTGCCATCGGGACCCACACGACCGGGAAGACCTCTCAAACCCTGGAGACCAGGTAGACCGGGAGGACCAATATCACCATTGCTGCCTTTTTCGCCAGGAGGACCTTGTACACCTCTCTCACCGGGTGTGCCCTTGGGACCCATGGGGCCATCGGGTCCAGGAAGACCAGGCATGCCGGGAGAACCACGTTCACCTGTGGGACCAGCTGGGCCGGTGGGACCACGCATGCCACGTTTGCCGCGCTTGCCTTCGGGTCCAACAGTGCCGGGTAGACCTCTGGGGCCTGGTTGGCCTGCTTCACCTTTAATGCCTTGGTCACCTGGAGAGAGCAAATGGATGAGACGAATTAACATTTTTACCGAAAGAGAGATTCCTCCTTACCTTTATACCCTCTTTCGCCGGGTTGTCCGGCAGCACCTTTTACACCGGGCTCACCGGGACTGCCTGGCATGCCATCGGGTCCTCTGGGACCGGGGAAACCTTGAGGACCAGCAATACCAGGAGCACCCATAGAACCCTTGTCGCCAGGCATACCATCCTTACCGGGAAGGCCCGGGAGACCATTTTCACCTGTGGCACCTGGACGACCTGCCTCACCGCGTGGACCTTGCAAACCTTGATCACCTTTGGGGCCCATGTGACCCATATCACCTTTGGCGCCGGGAATACCGGGGAAACCTGGAGGTCCAGGTTTACCTATGGCTCCAGGTTGGCCGGGAGTGCCAGGGTTGCCATCCAAGCCACGAGCACCAGGCTGGCCGGGTGGACCTTCACGACCACGTTCACCGCGGGGACCGGCGGGACCCTAAAATACAATTAAAGATGAAATTTCATTTAGATTTGAATAAAATGTGGACAACTTACAGTTGAACCAGGTGGACCCACAGGGCCCATTACACCAGCAGACCCCTTTTCACCGGGGGCACCCATATCACCCTTTGATCCATCCAAACCGGGTAGACCGCGATGTCCTTTCAATCCGGGTTGACCTGGTAGACCGGGAAGGCCACGAGGGCCAGGTGTACCAGCCAAACCCTGGGGTCCAGGTTCTCCATCCTCACCAGGCATGCCATCTTTTCCGGGGGGACCAGGTAAACCTCTGGGACCCATTGGACCAGGTGGTCCCTGAACACCAGGTTCTCCGGGCTCACCACGTGTGCCTTGGAAACCTTGAGGACCCTGAGGTCCCACAGTGCCGGGTGGACCCCGAGGTCCTGGCTGACCATTTGTGGGTATTGGTACAGGGGCGTAGAAAGCAGCTGCCGTAGGGCCTTTGTCGGAGTTTGCATATTCAGCGGCCAATTGTTGATGATAGTAGCTCATGTCGGGCATGGGACCAGGGGGACCTGGATTTCCAGGTACACCGGGGGTGCCAGGTGCCCCAGGGAATCCGGCCTCTCCTGAGGGACCTTGGGCACCAGGATAGCCCGGCTCTCCACGAGGTCCCAAAGCTGCTTCATAGGGGTTATAGGCCGGCGTCGTTGCTGGCGTAACAGGTTTTGGAGTTGTTGTGGGAATTTCGTCGAGTGGTTGCAAATCTATGGCAGGGCCAAGTCCAAGTTTGCAATCTGCAGAGGGGGTACAGTCGACCTTCCCCTCCCGGCAAATGCAATTGTGAACACAGTTGTTTTGTTCGGTGGTAAACTCATCGTTGTCCCGATACCAGTTGCCCTCAAAGAAACAGGAGAAGGCATTGATGACATTGGAAGCCATGCGGGGGGTGGCGGTGGAGGAGGCAACCTCTGCAAAAAGGGGGGAGAGATTTTTTGAGTTTTTATGGTCATTGGAGAAATTGTTGTCAACTTACCCACACCATGTGCCTCGAATGTGTCAACATCGGAACCCAAATCTGAAAATAAATTGAAACAATGAGTTTTGATTCAGACCTTGCTGGGTAGAACTATGTGAGCGAGTGAGCGGGCAGTGGAGAGGGAGGGAGGGAGGGTGGCAGCGGCAGATATAAATCATAAATTTAAATGTGTCAGCAGAAAACATGGCAATAAATGCTGGCAAATATTTCAAAGCATAAATCTTAACTAGATTGCATCTGCTCAGTTAGGAAGACAATGTATGGCTTTTCAATTAGTTTTCCGTGACATATGGTTGTATGTGTGTACGTGTATGTGTGAATGTGAAAAATGAGGTAAATGTTTCTGAGGACAGTGGTTTGTAAGCTGAAATGCAGGCTCTTTATAAGAGAACAAAAGTATGGGGGTTCTATTAACAAACTAAGGGTTTTCATGGGAAAATTTAGGTTTTCCATAGGAATATTGCGGAATTTCATAGCAAAACAGGAGTTTTTCATAGGAAAACTTGAGATTTCCATAGGAAAACTGGGCATGGTTGTTTTCCGTAGGAAAACTGTGGTTCTCCATAGAAAACTGTGGTTTTCCATAGGAAAACTTTGGTTTTCCATAGGAAAACTGTGGTTTTCCATCGGAAAACAGGTTTTCCAGATATTTTCCATATGAAAAAAAAATGTTTTCCATAGGAAAAAAAATGTTTTCCATAGGAAAACAGGAGTTTTCCATAGGAAAACTGGTGTTTCCATAGGAAAACAGGGGTTTTCCATAAGAAAACAGGGGTTTTCCATAGGAAAAGAGGGGTTTTCCATAGGAAAAGAGGGGTTTTCCATAGGAAAACAAATATGTTCCATAGGAAAACAGATATTTTCCATGGGAAAACAGATGTTTTCCATAGGAAAACAGGTGTTTTCCACAGGAAAACAAATGTTTTCCATAGGAAAACAGATGTATTCCCTAGCAAAGCAGATATTTTCTATAGGAAAACCGGTGTTTTCCATAGAAAAACAAATTTTTTCCACAGCAAAACAGGGGTTTTCCATAGGAAAATAGGGGTTTTCCATGGGAAAACAGGGGTTTTCCACAGGAAAACAAATATTTTCCATAGGAAAACAAATGTTTTCCATAGGAAAACAGGTATTTTCCATAGGAAAACAGGGGTTTTCCATATGAAAACAGGGGTTTTTCCATAGGAAAACAGGAGTTTTCCGAAGGAAAACAGATATTTTCTATAGGAAAACTGGTGTTTTCCATAGGAAAACAAATATTTTCCATAGGAAAACAGATATTTTCCAAAGGAAAACAAATGTTTTCCATAGGAAATCAGGTGTTTTCCATAGGAAAACAGGAGTTTTCCAAAGGAAAATAGTGGTTTTCCATAGGAAAACAGGTGTTTTCCATAAAAAAAGGTGTTTTCCATAGGAAAACAGTCGTTTTCCAAAGGAAAATAGTTGTTTTCCATAGGAAAACAGAAGTTTTCCATAGGAAAACAGGTGTTTTCCACAGGAAAACAAATGTTTCCACAGGAAAACCCCTGTTTTCCTATGGAAAACCCCTATTTTCCTATGGAAAACCCCTATTTTCCTATGGAAAACCTCTGTTTTCTTATGGAAAAAATTTGTTTTCCATAGGAAAGCAAATATTTTCCATAGGAAAACAGATATTTTCCAAAGGAAAACAAATATTTTCCATAGGAAATCAGGTATTTTCCATAGGAAAACAGGAGTTTTCCAAAGGAAAATAGTGGTTTTCCATAAGAAAACAGGTGTTTTCCAAAGGAAAATAGTTGTTTTCCATTGGGAAACAGGTGTTTTCCATTAGCAAATTAGTACTTTCACAACATAGGGAAATCTGGAGTTTTCCACAGGAAAACCTGTATTCTTCATTTGGAAAATTTGAGTTTTCCAAATAAAAACTTCTTTACAGTCTCACTTTATGAGATTTTCTCTCCGAAAACTGGACTGAATGGGGGCTCCATAGAAAAACTGGGGTTTTCAAAGGAAAACTTTAATTCGATCCGGCTTTTCCATGGAAAAACTATAACTCTGGGCTGAACTGGTATTCCCTGTGCTTTGTTTTAAGTTCGGAATTTTCAAACCCATATTTCTTGCTATTTTTAAATACGGCCACATGTAAAATATTTTTTTTATTCATTAAAATTGATTCGAAACTTCTTCGTCTTCCACTTGGTCTTGGTCTATCATCGCTGCATCTTAAATTCAAATAAATATTACTTTAACACATTGACAGTATGGAGGACAACGATGACAGCCAGCAATTTACAACAACAACAACAACTGACTATGGCGCTTTTTCGCAATTAAAAAAGAAAAAGAAAAAAAACTGCCTTTGGCAAATTGGCACTATCGACGTCATAGCGAAACGATTATTAACTCAACATGTTCGACTGTGCTCCGTAATGAAAGAATGAATATCAATTGATGAGCATTGTTGGAGCTATTCTTGGATGGGTCCAAGTGCGAGCCGAAATTGGGTCAATTTCAATTTTATGCTCCGGCGGCATTTACTTACCATCATCGTAATTGCTGTAGTCATAATTATCCAAATCGTCCAGACTGGCATCGTCCGGCTTGGGCTCCTCGGCCTGGGGGCGTTCAACGATCTTCTTCCTAAGGCGGGCCTTTTTTACGTTCTTGGCAGCATTTTTGGGGGCATCTTTTGTCTCTTCGGCGGCGGCAGTGACTGCAGCTATTAGAACACAGGCGGTGATTAACAGCCAAAATAGTTTGAAATGCATTTTTGTGGTGTGGTGGTCTCAGCTAATCTCTCCACATTTGAAATCACAACTGAATGGATTCAAGCATTGGTGATAATCTGAAAAGAAAAAAGAAAAAGAAAAATGAATGATTGAAGAAATAACCCAGATTAGAATCAGGAAATTGGAACACGAACGAAAAACAAAATCTTGTCTCAAATTTTAATGCATTTTTTGAAATATTTTGAATGGCCATTCATTTGTTTTTGTTGTAATCCATATTTGTTGTTAGTTTTTTGTGTGTTTTTTTTTTTGGAGGGAAAACGCTAATCATATTTTAATGCTTTCGCTTCAATGTTAAAAGTTCACCAAATTTTGTTGATAAGTTGTCTTCGGGGCGTTCTCAAAAGGAGTACATCTATCGCTTATCTCTTGAATTTGTAGCCAAGACTAAACAAGCTGCGAAGCAACCGAGAAGCTGAAATAAAATTTTGACACTTTTTCTATTTCCTGTTGACACCGAAGTCATCGATGTGGCGCAATGCATGTGATCCGAAAAAAAAAAAACAAAAACAAATTGCAAAATATCGAAACTTTTATTCAAATATTTCGGGGAAAGTTTAAAATTAGTGAAAATGATTTAAATTTGGAAAAGAAAAGTTTAAATTTTCCATGAGAAAATGAGAGGGAATGAGAGTTTTCCATGGGAACAGTGTAATTCAGCTCAAGTGTATAATAGTTTTCTACCGAAAAACTATTCAACTCAGCTGTATAACAGTTTTCCCCATGTCACTCTAATCGGCTTAGCTATATAACAGTTTTTCTATGGAAAACTTTTTTTAAATCAGCTGTATAACAGTTTTGTCATGTAAAACTTTATTCAGCTTAGCTGTATAACAGTTTTCCTTAGGAAAACTCCATTCAACTCAGCTGTATACAGTTTTTCTATGAAAAACTACATTCAACACAGCTTTATAACAGTTTCCCTCTGAAAAACTTTATTCAGCTCAGCAGTATAATAGTTTTCCTATGGGAAAATTTATTCAGCTCAACTGTATAACAGTTTTATTATGGAAAACTATTCAACTTAGCAGTATAACAGTTTTCCTATAGAAAACTCCATCCAGCTGAACTGTATAACAGTTTTCAAGCTCAGCTGTAGAACAATTTTTTCCATGGAAAACTAATCAGCTTAGCTGTATAACAGTTTTCTTTTGAAAAATTATGTTCATAACAGTTTTCTTATGGAAAACTTTATTCAGCTCAACTGTATAACAGTTTTCCTACAGAAAACACTCTTCAGCTCAGATGTATAACAGTTTTTCTATAGAAGACTATATTTATGTCAGCTGTATAACAGTTTTTCCCATGGAAAACTCTAATCAGGTCAGCCGTATAACAGTTTTCTTATGGGAAACTCCATTCAACACAGCTGTATAGCAGCTGTATAACAGTTTTCCTATGGAAAACTCTATCCAGCTCTGCTGTATAACAGTTTTCCCCATGGAAAAATATATTCAGCTTAGCAGTATAACAGTTTTCGGGTGGAAAATTCTGTTCGACTCAGCTGTATAACAGTTGTCCTATGGAAAACTATGCAGCTCAGCTGTATAACATTTTCGCTATGGGAAACTCTTTTTGGCTCAGTTGTATAACAGTTTTCCCCATGTAAAATTCTATTTAGCTTAACTGTATAAAAGTTTTTCTGAGGAAAACTCCATTCAACTCAGCTGTATAACAGTTTTTCTTTGGATAAAATTGAATAAATTAAGGAGGAGTTTAGGAGGTCTTCAATTTTAGGGCGGGTTGGAATATTTATTTTTTTCTTTTTAAACAATTTTCCCAAATATTTTTGCAGCTGCTCCAAAATTGAATTAAATTTTGAAATACAAAATTATTAAATATTTAATTGTTCCCAATTTTTTTATTGTCCCCAAAATATCCAAAAATTTGAAAACAATTATTTTTTTTTTAAATAATTTGTCTTGAAAATTATTTTTAGTTTATTTATGTCTTTTAGTCGTCTCTCTTTTATTTTTTTAACTGTTTCCAAACATAATTAGCTTTTCCAATCCCAAAATATTGAAAAAAAATTAATTTTTTTCTAAAATATATTTTAATTAATTGTTTTCAAATGTAGTTTTTTATCCAGATTTTTTTTTATTTTTTCCAAATATTTTGTTTACTTTTTTAATTTTATTTAAAATCTGTGGTTTTTCTGAATTTTATTTTTGGGTCAATTAACTTTTTTTTTATTTTTTGCTGTTGCATAATTTTCATATTCTCAGTTTCTTTGAAAGTTTTTTGTTTTTAGAAAATTTCTTTGTTTTGTTTTTTTTTTCTTTTATATTTTCAATTTTCCATTCACTTCCACCTTAAAATCTTACATTTGATCCTTGTATTTTTTCAAATTTCTCACACAACACTTTGAATCACAATCACTTTATGTTTGAAAATTGTCTTTTATTTCACTTCCTTTGGCCACCCGAACCCGTTCACTTTTACTTCGTTTCTTTTTCTTCGAGAAGATGTTGATCGTTTTGAAATTGAAAATAAACTGTAACCAAATGAAGACGGGCTCAGAATTTATAGTGTTTCAAGCGGCTATCCATGCCAAGGAAATTTATGATCATTAGAATAAGAAGAAGAAAAAAATAAGAAAAAAGAAGAAGAAGAAGAACATTTTATTCAGCTGCATATTTTTGTCAGCTATTCAGCAACTATTTGGAGAGAGGGAGAAACATAGTTTTAGTTTTCTGAATGAAATGAGAGAAAGAGACAGAGAGAAACATAAGATCAATGGGAGATCTAATTTCAGTGGGAGATGTTTATTCCAATGAGAGATATTTATTTAGGAGACAAGAGGGAGAGAGTTAGTGTGAACTCCAAACGCATTCCATTTGTTTTGAATTTTTTTATGCTGGGCTATGCTTGTCTGCCATACTTTGATTTGTGTGGGGGGACAACGATTCTTGATAAGCATTTCTTGTTCTTTTAAATATCTGCCCTCGTCGTTGATGCAGACATGGATGTTTGTGTGATTTGTTCAAAGAATCTGTCTTATCTCTTCTAATCGCACCGGCCGGCAGCTTAGTGCGTACGACACCAACCAAGTAATTGCTGAACTACTAAACCAATTTATTAATCTCCGATTTGTAATATTCAAGTTTAAAGGTTATGTTTATTTGAAGTAAAAGAACGTCAGATGAGCAAGACTTATTTTTGGAACACAATATTTTGTTGATTGTGGAAATCTGAAAAAAAAAATTAGAAAACCCAGATTCCCGAGTAATGACTGCGAAGTTCTTTAAATTTATTTCAACAAAAAATTATAAAATAAAAAAAAAATTAAATTAATTGCAAGTTAATCTTGAGGATCCTTTAAACAATCGAAAAAAAAACTCTTGAAGTGACCGGAAAAAATATTTTAAAATCCACTTGATGGCCATTAGAAAAATTGTTATCCATTACAGGTTGCTAACTTTAAGAGTCCTCTGAGGAGAAAAATATTTTTAGAAATCAAAGGTGATGTTAAAAAAATATACCTTGAAGTAATTGTAAGTCCTTAAAAAAACTGTTAGAAATTCACTTTAGTATATTTGAGGCTCATTGCTTAAGTGTCTTAAATAATACAGAATGATTATCTTCAACGTCCTTGGAAAAGATCCTTAAAAATCTCAAATATTATTCTTGAGGGTCCTGAAATATTGTTGTTAAAAAGTCGAGGACGATGGTTTAAAAGTCCTTCAAAAAATTTAGTCTTTCCTTAAGGGTCCTTACAAAAAATTTATAAACTCACGTGGATTGTTAAAACTCTAGTTCGATATAATCGAGTGTCATTGAAAAACTGTAAAGACGGAATTCTGAAGAGTCCTTCAAAAATGTAGTAAAAAATTGCAAGTCGATTAACTCGAAGATCTCGAAAAAAATTAGTAGTGTTGAAGTCTTAATACAGGGTGAGATGAAAAAACTGCAACCAACTTCAGACTGCTGTCATTTCCAAGCCACTCGTCCGACAGCTGTTAATTCCAATTATTCCAGTGACAGCTCATTATATTGCTTACAAGCCTACAAAATCATTTTGGAGAGAATTTTCCCGAAAAAAGTTATTCGTGACGGAATTCAAGCGTGATAGTATGATTTCTTCATATTTGGCCGGGGAACCAAAAGTGGCTATCGTTAGAGCACTCCAGCATTTAAATGCGAATAAATCTTTTGGGTCTCGTACCATCGCTCGTTACCGTGAATTATACTGGTAGCGTAGGCCGACGGAAAAAAACAGCAACATCAGCGGAAATGGTTCGAAAAGTAAAAAAGCGACTTGATCGCGTCGTAGTGGCCGAAAAATGGCACGTGAGCTGAACATATCGCAATATTCCATTCGGCAAATATTGAAAAATGAGCTCAGGGTAAAGCCGTTGAAATTCCAAAAAGTACAAGAAATTACACCGCAACAGAAAGAAAATATACTCAAGAGAGCTAAAGAGTTGCTTCGCTTGGCGGAGTGGTGAGTGGTGAACTGCCAAATTTGGTTTTCTCCGATGAGAAAACAAGCGTTGTCCAGAAGTTTGTAAACGAACAAAATGATCATGTTTACTCGCCAAAGAGGTCAGCTGAAAATGTGCACCTTCGGTTGGCCACCAGAACTCAAGCGCCGGCCATGGTGATGGTGTGGGGCGCCATAACAGCCGATGGTCGCTCTCTGCTTGTATTAATCGACCGTGGCATCAGAATAAATGCCAAATATTATCGCGAAAATATTCTGGAGCCTTGGACACGCAAATATTTTGGCCGCAGACCTTGGACATTCCAACAGGACTCAGCACGCGCCACCCAAGAATGGTTAGAAAATGAGGTTCCTCGCTTCATTTCACAATGGCCACAAAAGTCTCCGGATACCAATCCGTTGGACTATTGTGTCTGTAGTTTTTTTGAAGGCAAGGTTGGAAATATCAACGTGTTGAACACCTCAAGCAAACGCTCCGCCGGAAATGGCTCAAAATACCGCAGAGCAACGGTCGGGCAGCGTGTGACGGTTTCATTGGCCATTTGAAATTTGAAAAAATCTTTAAATTCCACATTAATGTCCTTGAAAAAATTCTTTAAAAATCCACATTTATGTCCTAGGAAAAATTCTTTAAAATTCCGCATTGATGTCCTTGAAAAAAGAACGCTAAATATCCATATTGGTGTCCTTGTAAAATACGTTACGTTACGGCTAATAGTCACGCTGATGTCCTTGAAAAAATCGTTATAAAAAAATCTTTGAAATTCCACATTGATGTCCTTCATTAAAAATCCACATTTATATTCATGGACATTTTTTTAAACTTCACTTTGATGTCCTTGAAAAAAAAAAAAATTAAAATTCCACTTTTATGTCCTTGGAAAAATTCTTTAAAATTCATCATTGATGTCCTTCAAAAAAAAAAATAACGCTAAAAATACTCGTTGAAAAAATCGTTTAAAAATCCGCGTTAGTTTTCTTTAATAAGTTCTTTGAAAATTAACGTAGATGTCCTTGTAAAAATCCTTATAAAAAATTTTAAAATTCCGCATTGATGTCCTTGGAAAAATTCTTTAAAAATCCACATTTATGTCCTTTGAAAAATCCGCATTGATGTGATAGGAAAAGTTCTTTAAAATTTCACATTGATGTCCTTAAAAAAATCGCTAAAAATCCATGTTGAAAAATATCGTTTAAAAATCCACGTTAATGTCCTTAAATAAGTTCTTTGAAAATTCACGCTGATGTCCTTGAAAAAAATCCTTTAAGAAATCCGTATTGATGTCCTTGGAAAAATTCTTTAAAATTTAAAAAATTAAAATTCACCATTGATGTCCTTGCAAAAATCGTTTTAAAATCCACGTTAATGTTCATAAATATTTTCATTGATCATGCGTGTTGATATCCTTAAAAAATCATTATAAAATTTTTTTGAAAATTCCACATTGATGTCCTTGGAAAAATTCTTTAAAAATCCGCATTTATGCCCTTGAATTTTTTTAAGTCCTCATTGATATGCTTCTATAAATTCAACATTAATGTCCTTGAAAGAAATCTTGTTTTTGTCCTTGAAAAATCTTTATAAAAATTTACGCTAATGTCCCTAAATAAGTTTCTTAAAATGCACGCTGATATCCCTGAAAAAATCCTTTAAAATTCCAAAAATCAATTTGATGTTTTAAAATTGGGTCCCTTAAAAATATTAAAAAAATATCAAAAAAATCAAGTAAATATCCTTGAAAAAAATGCGTTTAATTTCATTTTAAAGACTCTGCAGGAATCCAGGATTCCTTCTAAAAATACTCCATTGCCATTTCTTTCCAAAAATCTCATTTTCAATTTAATCTAAGCCTGTGTAATCCGAAAAACAGAGACCTCCTACCTTTTTCATTAACATCTTGGGCATTTAGATGCTGATGATGGAATTTTATTTTGCTATAAATAAAATTTCGTCTTCGCTTTTTTTGTTGTTGCGAGGTTTTCAGATGCCACATGTCATCGTCAAAGGCTATGACTTTAAATGTGAAGGTTAGGTTAGAGATACTTATATCCTAGTTGTTATAATGGCAACAACAACAACGAAAACTATGACAAAAACATGTCTTCTATTTTCTCCATCAGTCTCAAATTTCGACGACGATGATGATAGCGGTGGTGGGGGTGATGCCGGTCCTGTTAAAGGTTGCAAATGTTGCTCCAAATGTCATAGCTTGTCGTGGTGTTGTGTTCGCTTCGTTGTCGCTATTTTGTTTATTTGTGCTCAACATGTCGTAAAGGAATAAACGAAACTAATACTATTAAGTTGTTGTTGCTGTTGTTGTTAACACACACCAACAACAACAATCGACTATAGCGGCATCTATAAATTCCTTTTCTTTTGCCTCCTTTTTTCTCTCTCCTTGCCTTGGTGTTCTTTGTATTATTTGTATAATACTTCTCTCTCTCTCCTCTCTAACACACGCCTGCACCCATTCTTCTCAAGCATCGTAGTATTCTTCTTCTTCTTTTTTGTGTGAGCCTTTCTCCTTTGACAAGTATCAGAGGTTGTTGAACATGTCTGAAGCATTTAAATTTGTTGCTTGATGACATTTGAGTAGGTGTAACGATGTGTGTGTGCGTGTGTGTGCTCTTCATATTGTTGTGGTAGTTAGATGGTTCAAAAACACTTCAATGTCACAGAATTTGAGTTAAGAAAGCGATTATAAAACACAACCAGCCATGCTGAGCTACTCTTCAAATTTTCTTTCATTTTTTTTGGTCTAGCAGCCCAGGCCGACGTCTCCTTCTTTTCATGGAAAACTTTTTTTTTGTGAGATAGAAAGTTTTCAGAAACAACAACAATAACATAATAAAAGTTCACAACATGTTGCCTAATACAAATTAAAATCTTTAGAATTTTTCCATATTTTCTACCTCTTTTTTTTGGGAGGGTTACCTCTTCTCTTCAGTTGGGATATTTTCTAATGGAATTTTTTATTAGTTAAGGATGCTGTTAATTTGTATCCTTTCTGCAAGCAAGAGAAGGAGGAGGTGGAGAGGAAAGGGAGAGAGAGAGTAGGGC